GTCCTTGTATATTATTCATTTCTGTTCCAATACACTGCTAACCCCTGTTCCACTAGTGTTTACAACTAATTGTTCTTGTATGTTACTAATGCCTATTCCAATACACTGGGAACCCTTGTTCCACTATAGTGTGAACAACTAATTGTTTCTGTATATATTACTAATACCTGTTCCAATACACTGGTAACCTGTGTCCCTTTATAGTGTGAACATTTAAATGTCCCAGTACATCATGAACACCTCACAGTCTCATTACACTGTGAGCATGTCACCGTTTCAGTAGACCATGAGCACATCACAGTCTCATTAGACTGTGAGCACGTCATGGTCTCACTACACTGTGAGCATATCACAGTCTCACTACACTGTGAACACCTGAATATACAACACACTGTCTACCCCTATTTCACAATACTTGGAACACCTAACTATCCCTGTACATGCAAGTACCTGCTCTGTTACACTGTAAGCAACTGTCCTATTACGGTGTGAACATTTAACTATTCCACTAAACTGTGAACACCTAACTGTCTCTCATTATACTATGAATACTTAGCTGTCCTACTACAGTATGAACACCAGTCTTATTACACTGTAAACACTTGTCCCACTACATTGTAGACACCTATCACACTATAGTTTGAACATCTAAGTGTTCCAGTACATTATAAACATCTGACTGTCCCACTAAAGTGTGAACATCTAACTGTCTCTCATTATACTATGAATACTTAGCTGTCCTACTACAGTATGAACACCAGTCTTATTACACTGTAAACACTTGTCCCACTACATTGTAGACACCTGTCACACTATAGTTTGAACATCTAAGTGTTCCAGTACATTATAAACATCTGACTGTCCCACTAAAGTGTGAACATCTAACTGGTTTTTGGTAATTTACCCAAAATTATTAAAAGATATCTATTACTCTAAATTACAGTATTAAGCTCTTTGTCACTTCTTAATAATTGTAATTACTTCGGAGGTGCAAATATAGAAAATAATTTCTTAAAACCAAAATATAAATTCCTTAAAATTTTAAGAGGTGGTGACAGCTAGCAAAATGTTGAGCTGAGACATTCTAGTTGAAGTGCATGCATATCATGCAAAGTTTGCTTCATCTTTGTTCAGCCTTGCAAACCACAAACTTGACTAACCTGTAGCAATCCTGACATGCATGATAGGAAAGGCAGAATGGGTGATTTAGGCACGAACTTTCCATCACACATCTATTTCTTTTCATTTCTATTATCAAATCTCACTCTTTTTTTTTCTTTTTGTGTGTGTTTCAAATTTGACATTTTTTATTCTTTGAACAAACTTCTATAAATTTGCATCTTCAAGAAGAGGGGAGGATAGCCTTTGCACTGATGACTGGTCTGCAAGGTGAAAGGGACTTGTCAATATAATCCAGAATCTTTAATTTTTCCAAGTTCATCTTTTACAGTTTCATTGATAAAAGTATTCTCCTGAAAGGAGTTGCTTGCATCTTCATTAACCAATCTATTGTGGTTAGTTTCTTGATGAAATATTGATGTGTTATTTAATATTCTGTCACCAGGTCTAGTTTCATGAACAGAATTTTCAACAATTTTATCACCAGGTCTCACTGGACTAATCTCTTGAAGAGCTGGAAGTGTACACTCTACAGAAACTTTTCTGCAGACACAAACAAAAAATTATTAAAAATAGAACAGATAGTTCTAATATTTCACATGTCTCTCTAACAAAGCTGGATAGGGCAAATATTAGTTGTATATAAGAGAAAAAACCCTCCTATAGTAATACTGCAAGTGAAATTTTTATAGGTTTTTAAGAACCAGCCATTTTTTCTCTTCAGAGTGATAAAACTAGTTTTAATCAATAATCCATTTTAACAGAAGTTCATAAGTCTTAACTACATATGAGACAAGCTTAAAACTGTATGTAGTTTTGCTTACCTATCCATATAAAGCTCATATGAGGATGGTGCAGAGTTGGAACGTCCAGTTCTAAGAAACTGGTGCCGATACAGGTACGGATTGTCTTTGAATGGATTTCCAAAGGAGTGTTTCTTCAACATACTCTTAACCAGAATCTGCAAGAGAAGTGATAAAACTATTGATGCATAATAACATGCAATATTATAGCATTGAAAATAATTTTTGTAAACAGTTGTAAAAAAAACTGTATTGTTCTGGAAATTTACAATGTTGTCCTCTACCCTTCCATACTATGAAAACTCAACACTGTAAATCTGAAATATAGAAGAACATCATATTACTTAAGAAGGAAATACAAAATATTATAAAAGGTTTTAACATTCACCAAGCAACATTTAACTTAATCAAAAATGAAAATGGAACTAATTGTAATAAGCTTAATAGAAGAAAAATCATATCCATAATAAAAGTAAAGAACAAGTGTAAAAAACAAGTTTAACAATATTAAAAACAGTAGTTCTCTACTAAGTTGTTAACCTTAAATTCAAAATCTGCTCACAGTAGAACACCAGTTCTTTATATTTTACTGAAAGATTACAGGTAACATTGTTCTTTTGTTAACTGAAGGTTCCCTTAACCCTATTTAAAAAACACTGTACCTAGCTTAGGGTGATTGTAAGCAGTTGGTAATACCCAAGAATATAACCTACTATGATTATCTAGATTGCAGAGACTGTAAACACCAGATATAACCCAAAATTATAACCCACACAGTCACCAGCTTATAGCAGATGTAAACAGCAAATAAAATTCAAGAATATAACCTACTACAATATCTAAATTGCAGACTGTAAACAGCAGATGAAACCCAAGATATAACCTACTACAATACCAAGATTGCAAACTGTAAACAGTAAATAAAATCCAAGATTACAACCTCATATAATATCTAAATTATGCACTGTGAACATTAGATAAACAAAAAATGTCACCTACCACAGTACCCACCTTAGTATCATTCAGTGGTACTTCTAGGATTTATTATTCTTTTGGGGGGGATAAGGTGGCAAAGAACTAGTATGGAGGCAGAAAAAAATTAACAATCTTATGTCAGTAGGAGTCACAAAGTAGAGAATCTGAAAACCTTAACAGACTATATTTCAAATGGGGGGCTGTTGAGGCACACAGTTCTCCAATGACAGGTTTGTCCCCATGCTACCCCAGTGGACACGCTCCAGTGAACATGTTAACAGTAAATAAAACTCAAGTATGTAACCTACTTCAATAACGACTTTAAACAGTAGATTAAAAACCCAAGAATGTAACCTGCCACAGTACCCACCTTAGAATAACAGTAAACAATAGATAAAAACCCAAGAATGTAGCCTGCCACAGTACCCACCTTAGAATAACAGTAAACAGTAGATAAAAACCCAATAATGTAACCTGCCACAGTACTCACCTTAGAGTAACAGTAAACAGTAGATAAAAACCCAATAATGTAACCTGCCACAGTACCCACCTTAGAATAACAGTAAACAATAGATAAAAACCCAAGAATGTAGCCTGCCACAGTACCCACCTTAGAATAACAGTAAACAATAGATAAAAACCCAAGAATGTAGCCTGCCACAGTACCCATCTTAGAATAACAGTAAACAGTAGATAAAAACCCAATAATGTAACCTGCCACAGTACCCATCTTAGAATAACAGTAAACAGTAGATAAAAACCCAAGAACATAACCTACCACAGTACCCCCTTAGAGTGACAGTAAACAGTAGATAAAAACCCAATAATGTAACCTGCCACAGTACTCACCTTAGAGTAACAGTAAACAGTAGATAAAAACCCAATAATGTAACCTGCCACAGTACCCACCTTAGAATAACAGTAAACAGTAGATAAAAACCCAATAATGTAACCTGCAACAGTACCCACCTTAGAATAACCGTAAACAGTAGATAAAACTCAATAATATAACACACCACAGTAACCATTTAGGGTGACCTTAATAAGCTGGTAAAATAGAAGAATGTACACTAACACAGTATTTACCATAGGGTGACTCAAGAGAAAAATTAAAATGACCTATCACAATAGCATGAGTACATGACTTTAAAGCTCAAATAAAACCCCAGAAATATCAACTGTTTCGGTCTTTGAATGGTGATAACCAACAAATAAAACTCAGGAATTTAACTTTTCACAGTACCTACCAGAGGGGAAGGGTGTTCCCAAAGAGGGTTTGTATACCCCCCCCCCCTTTGTCTATGAGCTACACCTTACCAGTTAATCAAACGGCACTTAAATCATTCAATTTGTCTAAACTTTGTTTATGCACATACATACTACCAGATTTAAAATAGCATCTGATGAACACTTGTAAACTGCCCAGACACATAAGTTGGTAATAAGTTATTGTGCAAATGTATGGGTCATTTATCAAACTGAAGATGTTAGAAGTAGTTTAAGAAGTGATCTTTCGCTTTGTGTAACCACTGTTAAAAAACAAATTATAATATAGTTCTTATCAAGATACTTTAACTTTCACAGCACATGAAACACATCCTCCCAAGATAGTGGGATATATATAGTCACCCTATTCCCTCCATAATCAGGGCTAGATTAAGGCGGGGGGTCTGGTGGAACTGCAGCTCCAGGCCCACCACGCTAAAAAAACATGCATTAGAAAATATACGCATTCCTGCATCAACAATGGGTTCAACTTTTTAAAGCAAATCTGAAAACACATGCGGTCCTAATAATTTGTGATAGGCCTAGATTTATTACAGAAAAAACGTTACTGAGACATATACACAATTTCAGATGATCCCTTAAATAGAATATTGTTGAGCGACTAGAACTACAGTTACACAAAAATGACCAAAGCTGTCTAGCATGCGAGAGCTACGTCACGTCTTTAGTGGGGTCAGTAGTGGGGTTCGGGGAGTTCGAACCCCGCCCTTTTCATTGCAAAGTACCCTCAATATGCAACATATTTTTCAATGTTTTTGGATTTTCTAAAATCTGAGAAAATAATCATTATTAAAATTTAAAAACAACTTGTTATATAAATTTCATTACGTCATCTTCCCTTTGCGAGGAAATCCTACACCTAATGGAGATTTAAGACTCTATGGAGGTACTGCGAGCTATAATCCCCAATTCCCAAAGATGTCAGGAAAATCATTGGTCTTCATCATGCACTCTGCTCTTTTTTCGTATGAACATATTGTTAAATTGGTGGGAAACCGAAACCTGTTACAATGTTTAATGGACTTATGAACAGATCGGAGTCGTTGACTGTCCATTTGAATGGCCAGATTCCTCAAAACTGTCTATTTTGAAAAATGCCTGTCCATGATTTTTTTCATTTATCTGTTTGTAATTAAGCACAAAGCTACACAGTGGGCTGTCTGTGCTCTGCCCACCACGGGTATCGAAACCCGGAGTCTAGCGTTGTAAGTCTGCAGACATACCGTTGTGCTACTGGAGGGGCTTCATTTGTCCATTAATATTATAAGTCATTTACTGCTAGCAGGTAAACTTGTAACTTTACAAAGTGAAATTCAGTATACTACGGCCTTGGAAGGGGTCAGATGTTGTACTCGTGCTCAGGGTACAAGCCACGACCTTCATGTAGTAATAAACATAGTATTTTAGCGCACTACAATATTAACAGCCGTAAAGGAACAAGTCCTAAAGTACCTGATTGTTCCCTGTACACACAAGAATAGACCTAAATACCAATTAAGAATTCAAGCAAGATTGTAAAAATCACAATGGACAAAGAGTGAAAAAAGATACATATTAAGTTAATGGACAAACGAAAGTTTTTCATGGATAGGCACTTTCAGAATAGACAAATTTTAGAATAACGAATAAACAAATGTAGTTTCATGTTACAATTTGAAGCCATTCTAGAAAGAAAGAAAAAAAGGTAATTTTAGACTTATTTCTTTTTCTTTTTTTTTTGTGATTACAAGATCGGTGAATTTGACCTATAGAGTTAGGGTAGAAAAAACAGATAAAATATAAAATTTTACTGAAAAAACGTTTGAAATGTATTTAGGGGTTTTTAGAGATTACACAAATGACATTTGAGATT